CAGGAAAACTGGAATGAGGTCGGCCAAGGATCGGAGAGGACCACTGGGTGCATGCGCAAAATCCTCTCGTACATCAGGCTACCTGGTTACTGTCTCCCTTTGTCTTTGGACCTGAACATACTGGCTGTAGGCCAGTGTTTAACTCAGAAGGTGGATCTGGCCCCAGACTGGGCTCAAAGGCAGGCTCTCCCTTCTTTCTGCAGCCACTTCTTTTTTTTTTTTTTGTACCGGGGATCAATTTGGGTCCTTGCGCTTGCGGAGCAGGCAGTGAAACCACTGAGCTAAATCCCCGGCCCTACAGCCACTTCTTTAGCTACCTCCTCCTCATAGGCCACCAGTCCCTGCACCAAATTTCCTTGCCGGCATTTGTTTGAAAATATTAACTTTGATCACAGAGGGAGAGAGATCAGTGAATTGACCACAGTCTTTTTTTTATCAGTATATATGTGCAGTACATCCTGTTTCCATTCCTTGTGTGGAACTGGTACACGTACATAACACATTTTAATTCCTCTTTCATCTCCTCCTTCCTCTTCCCTCCACCTCTTGACCTCTCCCCATTTGAGAAAGATCTATCTCCCTACTTCCTATTATCTTTTTTTTTTTTTGGTACCAGGGATCGAACTCGGGCCCTTGCGCTTGCGAAGCAGGCAGCGGAACCACTGAGCTAAATCCCTGGCCCCCTGTTATCTTTTATTTTGTTTTTTATTTATAATTTGGGCTTCTCATATAAGTGAGACCATGTGATTATTAAGCTTATGTGTGTGATTTATTTCACTTAGCATTATTGATCACGGTCTCTTATTAGAGGACTTTAGCAAACAACTTTACAATATGCCTAGCAAAACCTATACTGGGATAAATGTTTTGTTCCAGGGAAAGTCCTAGACTGTACCTGGAAAAAAGAATAGGTGACTCATTTTATTCCACCCACTCAAACAACAGGTCTACCCTAGGGATTTAGCTCAGTGGTGCCACCGCCTGCCTTGCAAGCGCAAGGTCCCAAGTTCTATCCCCCGTACCAAATAAAACAAACAAATAAACCAGAAAAAAAAAACCCAGGTCTAACTAGGAAGCTTAGACACTGTTTGAGTCATGATTAATTAAAATATAAAGGAGCACTGTGTGGGGATCTATTAGGGTTAATATACTGTATTTCACTGTGAGCCTTCACTTATTCTAAGTTAGTTTAGGAACTTCACGCTGAATTGCGATACAAAGCTTGTAAACTATCTCAAGTAGTAATTTAAGTATCATTCCATTAAAAACAACCAGGCTGTTCATAGTGGTTTGTGGTATTCCCATACTGTTCAGAGACCTATCATTTACATAGCCTGGCTGTGCCAAGTCTGTCACTGAAATTTGAGAAAGGCAAAGAGGTTTAGAGTCTTAAACGAGCAAGAACCTAAAGGAGAATTACAGTGTTTGTAATTACTTCAACTTACCCCATTTTCTGCATATTTGTAATTATTTAAATGCCCTAAGAGCCAGAACTTCATCCTTTTTTTATTTTTTTAATTTATTTATTCTTTTTGGTACCAGAGATCGAACTCAGGACCTTGTGCTCACACGGCAGGCGCTGGAACCACTGAGCTAAATTCCTGGCTCTTCTTCCTTTTTTAAAGAAAATTATTCTAAGTGCTGTGGAAGATAAATCACCTTGGAACAGACCTTTGTTCCCAGCACAGCAAATTGGAACCCTGACTTAGTTTTACTGAATTGTCATGGGGTGGGGGCTTCCTTTTCCACGCCTTCAGAAACTTTGCCGGCCCAGAGCTGCAGCTCAGCTTCCGTCATCACAGGGTATCGGGGCACAGGGCCCCCCCTGCAAAGGCAGCGCAGACCAAGACAGTGAGAGCAGACTCCTTTCACAGACTCTGCTTCGTGGGGACTGAAGTCCTTGAAGGACTGAGTCCTTGAACCCACTGAGACCCCAGGAGTTCATGGGTTATCACAAAAGAGATTCTTAGGGAGAAAAACATCAAATCAAATCATAATATGAAGAAATGTAATGTTATATTATTACCAAACTACTAAAGATGAATATATCAATTACATTAAGATAAATACAGTTAGGTAAACACATGCATATACCTCTTCATTTTGAATGTTCAATGTCATATATATGTATGTATGTACATGGTGATCAAAAACTACAATGGTTAAACTTTTTCAATTATTACAGTAAAAGATACATTGCCTTTAATCCACCTAAAAATACCCGGCCCTGCCCCTTTGTACACAACTATTCCATTGTTCCTGCCACTTTCTAAAGCACTCCTTGAAGTCCTCTTTCCTGAGTATCATTAGTTGCACCGTTGTGGCTGCCTGGACATTCCGGATCGCTTTGAAACATTTACCTTCCGTGGGCATGTTGGCTTTGGGGAAGAGCCAGAGGTTAACCAGTGCAAGCTCTGGTGAATGAGGTAGATGAGGATGTGCCACATTGTTTCTGTTTGACAGAAACTGCCATAAGCAGTTCATGAATGAGGGGTGTCCAAAACATACAGTGAATGTTTAAGTTTTTTAAAAAAGTATTACAGTAAAAGACACGTTGCCATTTACTGCCCGCAAATACTTAAAGTATTTCCCCTCACTTTAAACACCTTTGTCCAATTGCTCTTGGCAACGTGTCTTTTACTGTTGATAGATTTTTGAAACAATTTAAACATTCATTGTATTTTTTAATCACCCTCTTTTTTTTTTTGGTACTGGGGATCAAACTTGGGTCCTTGTGCTTTTGAGACAACCGGCGGGACCACTGAGCTAAATCCCTGGCCCATTAATCACCCTTTTTATAAAGGCAAATCTTTCTTATGAACACTTACATTATGATAAATATCATTTATTCAAAAGAGGATCCACTCGGGAGTCCGAGGCAGGAGGATCTCTGTGAGTTCGAGGCCAGCCTGGCCTATGTAGTAAGTTCATTGCCAGCCTAAACTACAAAGCCAGGCCCTGTCTTAAAAAACAACAATGGAAAAAAAAAAAAAAAAAAGGATGACAAGGCTCCAGGAAGTACCAAGGAAAGATTACTTTTTAAACCTAAATATATCCTAGGAAAATGAGTGTAGATTTATTAATTGGTACTGAACAAGTCTGAATAGTAACATTATTTCCATAAATAAGATAAATATTGTTAGGCAGGTGGTTAGAAATTAGCAGGCCTGACAAAGGGGTCCTAAAAACAATGCTTTGCCAGTTATAGTTAAATGAAGAAACAAAGACCTCGACATACAATACATTTATAATCATTTGTTAGTTATCAGACCCAAAATGACCCCACAAAGCATGATGAATTTTTTTTTTGTACTGAGAATTGAACCTGGGGCATTTGTACTTAGCTACATCCCAAGCTCTCTTAAGTTTTAAAAATTCACATTGTGCACATTTATTATGACACAGAGCTGTCCATTTCCACAAAAGGACATGTAGCACCTCTGGTCTCCATAGCCTATGGCCCAATAATACCAGAAAGGGAAACATTCTAGAAAGACCCTCCTACCTTGGGCTGAGATCTGATTTAGATTAGAACTTTTTCTTTGACAAATTTCTTCCTAAATCTCTTACATGATTCAGGCCCCTGAGGGAACACTGACAATCTGAAAAGAACAAGGAAGACATTTTGTAATTCCAAAACAACTTCCTTTAAAAAATTTTTTAAATTTATTTTTGTTTGTACCTGTTTGCAGAGCATAAAGATTCCATTTCTTGTGGGGAGCTGGTGCATGAGAGTAACTCATCTTAATTCTTTTTATGTTCTATTATCCTCCCCACACTCCCTACTCCTTCCATCTCTTTTGGTCCCATTTGCAAAAAACCTATCTCTGTTTCCTATTATCTATCTTTTATTTTGTTCTTTATATATGCTTTGAGTTTCTTGTTTTTGTTTTTTTTTTTGCTACAGGAGATCAAACTCGGGTCCTTGCACTTGCACAGCAGGCGGCGAAACCACTGAGCTAAATCCCTGGCCCTCTGAGTTTCTTAATAAGCATCATAATCACCATCGTTCCTTTAACCTCAGAAGTACTTCTTGTGTGCATAAAAAGATCCCCAAACTCACACTCGGAGCTGATGCCTTCAAGGCACTGCCCACCTTTTCCCTTGAAGGTGCACCTCCCTTATATCTGCTTTACATTACTCTCCACCTATGCTTCTGCATGACCACCTATGTGTCTTGACTGAATTCTTTCAGCCAAGGGCCAAAGGACCCAGGAGTCAGAGCTGGTTCCTTGTCAGGACCTTCTTCCTAGTGACAGATATTATTTTATTTATTTATTTATTTTTGGTACTGGGGATTGAACTCAGGACCTTGCACTTGCAAGGCAGGCACAGTGCCACTGCGCTAAATCCCCAGCCCCAGAAATATTATTTTAATATTTGAATGTTTTAAATATGGAATGCAGAATATTTGTTCTAAAATAACCAGCCAATTTGCATTATTAATCTAAGTATAAAAATCATTAATTTTAAACTATAGATTCCTAGAGACAAACATCCTTGTGATTAATGGATTTTGGAGGCTTGAACTGAACGTTTTCTAGAGGTAGCATGCCCCAAAGGCAATTTCTACCTCTGCTGTTTCATTTTTCTTGTTTCTTTGTCTATAATCTGTTCCTTTAACTGGGTCATAACTACTTATTAATCATTATAAAACCTTTATTATATTCTAAGTACTTCTGACTGTAATTATTTTAATCTAACATCTAGAAAGACATGAAGATAGTTTATCACTTTCAGTATTGTATAAACACTGAATGAGCTACTGTAGAGGAAACCACTAAAATCATGATTGATTTTAAGATAAATAATACTTTTTGAATTTTAAATGAAGCAAAAAGCCTAGATCCAAAGAGCAAATGGTATACTGGGTTTGGAAAATTTGATTTTGCAGAAACAAAATGAGACTACTATAGTACTTTTCCATAGTTTTTCACTCTTGGAATTATTAAAATAATTGTGGAAAATCACTTAACTATGTCTGGATTCTCTCCCTCCAGAAAGTTCCCACCGGACGAAACCAGCTGCCCAGATTTTCTTCTCAGGAAGATTTGGGAGAAAATTTCCCATGAAAAAATTTGCTATATGATTTTAATATTTTTGTTATTTTCATTTTAACAATTATTGCAGCCAAACTAGCCAGTGACAAAATAACTGAAAATGATTGTGAATGCATAAAATTTATATGAAATGTGAAAGTCTTTGGCCCTACTTTTTGGAAGTTAAATGTCCCAATAAGAAGAACCATAATTTTAGCATGGAACAAAATGTATGTTTTTGTGTTAATTATATTGAAAACATGCATATTTGAATCGATCCTCAGTTTATCTTGTATTTTCACACACAAAAGAAGTTAACTCAGAATTTTTAAGATTTCACCAATGGAATAAATTTGAATTCTCTGAACCTGAAAAGATAGTTTCAATATATATGAAGAATTATATTTACATTAATGTATATGTAACGTGGGAGCAAAAGACCACAAAACTTCCACCGTGAAATAACAAATGAGAAAACATTTGTTGAAGTCAGTTTTCCAGTGTGGTTACAGTTATGAGGTAGAAATGGAAAGTGTCTTTCTGAATCTCCTTGCTTTGTATCCTTTCCCATTAAAGGGCAATGAAAACTACTAGGATTTGTACTTATTAAAGATTCCAAAAATTTAAAACAAAATGCTTAGTTTCAAAAGCTGAAGTCTGCAGTCACCAGGTCCTTTCGGTGAAAACAGTTGTCTCATCACTTTACTTCTGGGAGAGCTGCTTGGCACATAGTGAACAGGAATGAAAACATGAGACAGCAGAAAATCTAAGACAGTGCAGTCTGACAGGCATCCTTTTGTAATCAGTAATGGAATAGCTGGAACGCTACCTTTATACGCAGAAGTTTCTGGCCAAAAGTGAAGACCAGCCAAACATAAATAAAGAGGCAGGGAGCCAAACCAAGACAAATTCAAGGCAAGTTTCTTACGTAAAGGCCCCTAATGAAGTATTTAATGAAATCTCATTTAAGCAGATTATGCTGATGAAAATTTGCACTGGACATCTGTGCCAAGGTGATATCAGGAAGGGATGTTGCACAGCGGGACGAGTGACCTATTGGCCAAAGGCAGCTGCAAGTGCCATTGCTACCCTGTGTGGTCAAAAGGGAAGGGTAGAGAACAAAGAACAGCTACTTTTCTTTCTGGGCTGGTTAAGTGTATATACCTCAAGCGTTTTTTAGAAAACCTTTTTACACATTGTCAACAAAATGTTCACATCCATTAGGTAGTCAGTGATTTAAAATTACATATCAAGAGCAGAAAGAGTCATTTCTAATCACATAAAAAAGGAGAATTTTGTGATTGAAGTTCTTGAACTGTCTAGTTGAGAAATGAAGCCATTTCTAAAGTACTCTACAAAAAAAAAGTTTTATTCAAGCACTAAGGTGAGGGGGGTTTGGAAAGAGTACACAGGAAATTCACAACCAAGAGAAAACTAAGGTTAAGGTGGGTTTCCAGAAAGTGAAGAGGCATGAGGGGCCAGCTCCTCCTCATGAGGCCCTTTAAGTTAGGATCTTGCAACCACCGAAGAGAATTAGACCATCTCCACAGGGATGGCAGATGAGGTAATAAGATGGTGTTTCTTGATTAGGAAAAAAGGAGCATCTCAATGAAATATTTTACTCTGAAAATTTTGCAACTGCATCACAGAGGAAACCTGCTTTGATTCTATAAATTTTAAATCATGAAGTAACCCAAATTAATTGGTCGTTTCCTCTCTGGAGCTTTCGAAGTTTGTTTGCAGCAGAATTGGAAGGCAGAAATTAATTTTCCTCCAGTAAATGTTCAAACCTTGGCCAACTGTATTATTAAGTAAATATCTTCTGAAAAGTGATTGTATTTTTTTTTTTTTTGGAGGGTAGTAGTAGGGATTTAACTGAGCTACATTCCCAGACCTTTTTTTTTTTTAATTTTGAGACAGGATCTTGTTAAGTCACTAAATTGCCCAGGCTGGGCTTGAACTTATGGTCCTCCTGCCTCAGTCTCTCAGTGCTGGGATTATACATGTGATCCAACATATCTGGTTTGAATCTTAATTCTTTTTTTCTTTTTTGGTACCAGGGATCGAACTCGCTTGCAAGGCAGGTGGCGGCACCACTGAGCTAAATCCCTAGCCCTGAATTTTAATTCTTATACAAGTCACCAATAAGATTCGTCAAACAAACATGCAAAAGAGGATGATTTTTTAAAAACTAAGTATTATAGTTTACATCCCAAGAGCCTCTTGTGCTCAAAGACATGGACTTCGGAAGAGGATTATGAAGGGCACCATAGGTGACTTGCGGTTAGCAGGTGGGTGTGGCCGGGGCCAGTAGTTCACAGCGGCAGGACCTGACAAGGTGTATCTCCTCCCATGCTGCTCCCTTGGGTCTTTCCATCATGAAGAGAACACTTTCCTCTGCCCAGGCCTTTCCACCTTGCAGTTTCTGTGTTTAAGCCTGCTGACCATGGACTGAAACTTCTGAACTGTGAGCCAAAATGAACCTCTCCTCCTTTAAATTGTAGGTGTCAGGTATTTTGTCCCAGAAACCAGGAAAGTGACTAAGACACTAAGTAACAGCTTTGGAAATATTTTTGTTTTTTCCCTGCCTCTGTTGAAAAGCAGTAATCTTTAAGTTAGGGGTATAATATTAGGAAGTAATGTTATGGCATATTATATGTGAGGTCCTGGATTTGATCCCCAGCACAGCAAAACAGAACAACTCACATGATTATATTCATTATTTTAAAGGCCAGATCTTTTATCTGGATCTTCGAGTGAGCAAACATGTGTAGGTTAGTGTTCTAGTGACGGAATAACTAAAGCCTGTGATAGCAGCCTGCAAGGTGATCTAGATGGCCACAGACTCCTGGTAGTTACACCCTTATGTAGTCTCCTCCCACAGGGAGCAGGCTGACTTGTGTAACCCATAAGGGTATTGTGGGAATCATCATAAAAGATGTCACAGTTTCCACCTTCTTCTCTCTTGCATGTTTGCTCTGGATGGAGCCCTCTGACGTATCATAGCGACACTTAAGAGACCCTGCAGAGAGGAGCTCAGACAGGGACTGAGGGCCCCTAACCATATCCCGGAGACCAAGCCTTCTTAGAAGTGGATCTTCGCCGGACGTGGTGGTGCACACCTGTAATCCCAGCACTAGGGAGGCAGAGGCAGGAGGATCACCGAGTTCAAGGCCAGCCTGGGCTACAAAGTGAGGTCAGGGCCAGCCTGAACACAAGGCGAGACCTTGTCTCAAAAAAAGAGAAGTGGATCTTCAGCCCCTGCGAGCCTGTAGACAACTGCTGCTTTGGTGGAATAGCTTCATAGCAACCATGACACCAGGAGGTAAACTATCTCCAGATTCCTGACCTTTCAAAACTGCTGAGATAATGTTTATTGGTAAATCGCTACACATGAAATAATTTGTTACTATAGCAAGAGATTTCCAAATCTTTCCTCTCTGAGAAATACTGATGGCAAAATAAACCAATGCCCATCTTAAGGCATTTAAAGCCTTAAGTTAATAGGCTTTGCTGTAGTGCTTGGAACCTTAATTCAAAGAATTTGCCAGTCAGTTTTTGTCTCAGGAAATAGTACCAAGACCTTGATTACGTGGGAGCTGTTAGAAATGCGGAATCTCAAACTCCACCTCAGACCTGCTGAGTTGGAATCTGCAATTCTATGAGATTCCTCCCTGCCATGCAATTACATTAAAGCATGAGGAAAAGCCCTGAACTATTGGATGCAATGTATCAGTAACAAAAACAGTTGGGAAGCTTAATTCCTTTGAGTTAATTCCTTTAGGTTGGCTGCGGTGGCTGCAGACCTCTACTGGGGGCTCCTTTGACACTGTCTGTTGAGCCCCCTGAAGGAGCACTCAATCCTTGTCTTAACAGACTCCATTTTGCCCCTTTCACCTGCTCTCTCTTTGTGGAATTTCTCCCCCCACCAGCTTATCTCAAAATCCAGGCATAGTGAACCTTGCAGGCAGACCACCCCATATTAGGAAAGGAGGCTGATGCCCTCCTCCTCCAAGCAGAAGCAGTCAGCTCATGACTGACACAAACTGTCCCCTGCCGAAGCAGACTGTGAGATAATGGTCAGCTGGACCAAGACTGCTCGACGATGCATACTTCTTGCTGGAGCCCCTAGAACTTTCCCCATGTCAGTACCCAAGACAGGACTCAGGATGCTCTCCCCCTGCTCCTGCCTAGTCTGGACACACTGCCCCCTACCCCCACACCCCCACTCAACCCTGGAGTCAGATTGCGGCAGAACCTGGTCTGTTGGGTCAGGCCTCTGCCCTATTATTATGGTAACAGACCTAGTAGACTGCAGGATTTTCTTCGCCAAAGAAAACCACATCATTGAAGGTTCAGATCTGGTCTGACTTCCCAGCACCCTCCAATCCTGGCTCAGGTACGCCCAGGTGTATCACCAGCACTACCGTGGGGGGAAACACCGTGTACCCTAGCAGAACGGCCTCACCATGTGGGGGCCGAGAGAGGGCATGCAAACTTCCAAGATGCAACCTCAGAGATGCTGAAGTGGGTTGGCTGGCACTACCTTGGCTTATTCTTGTTCTTCCAGGACTAAGTTCATTCTAAGAAATGCATTTACGCCTTCCCACCTTGAAGGTCAGTTTGTAATTGCCGTGCCAAGGACCAGGTGCCAACAATCTAAGGGGTCCTGTTGTCAGATTAGGACCAAACAGCTTTGCGCTTCATCTTGCTCCAATGGCAGAACCGAAATAGCTAATGCTTTGAAAACATGTTCTTATTGTTGACCACTTTAAAATAAGATTTGTAGCGTGACGGGTCTACGCAGACGTCAGACCTTTTTCCCAAGAAGCTGGGACCCACATTCGAGGGAATGTGGGCGGTGGGGAAAGCTGCGCGACTCGCGCTCTTCTGCTTGGGCCTCGTGGCACCTGGCGGACTCTCAAGAAATATTTGTTAAGTCTTGAAAACCCAGTAACTCCTGATGACTCATTCGCTCCATTCCTGATCCCACCACGTTAGCGAGTCTGCAGTGGAAAGGGTGGAAGTTGTCTTCTCAAAGGATTTTGAAATAAAGGAACAAATGTTTTAGAAATGATAAATCTTGCACCTGAACTCTGCCCTGTTTCGGATTCGGGCTGGATCCCCAGCGGGAGGCGGATAGAGGACTGGGCTCTCTGCCCTTGAATCTCCTTCCTTTGATTTATTTATTTGACCGCGCGTGCACGTCCCTCGGCGGGAGCGCGCTCCGCAGCTGCGCCCCTCCGCGTTGGGCTCGGGAGGCGGCGGCGGCCTGGCCCGGGAGAAGCCGCTCCTCGCCCGAAGGACCCCGCGCAGGCCGTGCCGCCGCTCCTTTTGCGCCTCCGGCTGGGGGCGGGCGGATGCGGGCGGATGCGGGCGGGTTGTTCTCTCCCCCCCCCCCCCCCCGCTCCCGTGAGCTGCGCTCCGGCCCAGGCGAGCCTCGGGCGGTCCCGCTAGCTGGTTCGGGCCAGCGCCCCTGCGAAGGCTGAGGCGTGGCCGGGCGGAGGCGGCGCTTCGGGGGGCGTGGGGCTCGGGCTAGCGGGAGGGCGGGGCAAGCAGCCGAAGAGGAGCCGGGCTGCGGGAGTCAGCGGCCGCGGGGTGGCTCCACCTGCGAGCGGAGGGCGGGATGCGGGCGTCAGGTGTCCGGGCGCAGTGAGGCCGCACCGCACCCGCCCCGCTCGGGCTGCCGAGCCCCACCATGGCCAGCGCCCGGAGCATCGAGCTGGAGCACTTCGAGGAGCGGGACAAAAGGCCGCGGCCGGGCTCGCGGCGCGGGGCGCCCAGCTCCTCCGGGGGCAGCAGCAGCTCGGGCCCCAAGGGCAACGGCCTCATCCCCAGCCCGGCGCACAGCGCCCACTGCAGCCTCTACCGCACGCGCACGCTGCAGGCCCTGAGCTCCGAGAAGAAGGCCAAGAAGGCGCGCTTCTACCGGAACGGGGACCGCTACTTCAAAGGCCTGCTCTTCGCCATCTCCAGCGACCGCTTCCGGTCCTTCGACGCGCTCCTGGCGGAGCTCACCCGCTCGCTGTCCGACAACGTGAACCTGCCCCAGGGCGTCCGCACCATCTACACTGTCGATGGCAGCCGGAAGGTCACCAGCCTGGACGAGCTGCTGGAAGGTAGGGCGCCGGGGCAGGTGCGGCCGGCAGGTGCAGGCCCAGCGCTTGGGAGCCCGCGGGGTGCTTCCCGCGCGGCCCCGCGAACTGCACGCTTCCCCTGCGTCCCCACGGGTTGGGTGGGTGTGCAGGCCCCTGCCCACACATTCTTTCCTGCCCGAGACGTTTACTCTTAAAAAGGAAAAAAAATATTCTGACTGCCAGAGGCAAATTTAGGCATTGGTGGAGCCCCTAAGAATGACTCGGGTTTTTTTGTTGACGTGCAGACTGTAAGGAACTGGGTGATCAATCCCCTGGTTAATGAGGGCCCCTTGTGTACCCCAGCGCAGGCACCTGTGCAGTTCCAGTGTGTGGGAGGGACCCTGTTGTACCTGGCTCTGCCCCAAAGTTGTGGCAGTGAAACGCTTCTGGTTTGGCTTGCTCTGGAAGTCGCTTGAGGTCAGGAGCAGCGATCCTAGATAGCAGGTTTCAGCCTGGCTTGCTCTTGAGTATCACTGGAGATTTTCCAAAAAAGGCATTTCTCGGCCTCCCACTCCTAAATATTACTTACATATTTGGTTTGGGGTGGGACTTTGGCATTTAACATTTTGAAAACGCCCCAAGTGATTTTAATGTGTAGCCGGGATTGAGAACCGCTGTGCTGAAGGGGTTTCCCCTTTTCCTCATCTGGAAATGAGAGTCAAGGTCCATAACCCCTGCCTCCTCCCAGGTGAGGGTAGTTAGAATGATACAGGCTATTGGAATCAGCAGCTGGGGCCTGTTCTAAATCAGTAATCTCTGCACAACAGCCACGCCCACGCGTCACTCCAAGGGACTACTTGGTTGTATGTTGGGTCATTCTTGAATTCTTGCAATATTTACTCTTTTTCCTTTCAGGGAGGAAAAATGATGATTAGTAGTAGTTAAGAACCTGTTCCCAGCTTTGAAAAACACCCAGAAGGACCAGGCAGAACCCAAGTATGTGCTGACTGCATGTTTACGTGGAGTTAGCTCTCGTGTATCTTTCTTAATCCCAAGTTACATTCTTGTAGTCCTAGCAATATTGGCGTGGTAGAGGAGGAGACCTACAGTTGAGCCAGGCTTTCTTCTTATGTTATTTTAGCTTGCTCATGTTCTGAGGGCATTGTGTCCATTTTACAGACGAGAAAACTTAACGTGGGTTGTTACAGCGCTTATATTGTATGCTTTTTCATCTAGAGTTGACTCCTGATAAATTAATAAAGTAAATTAATGAGGAATCCTGAAAGTGATTGAGTTTAGTCCGTTATCAAAAATTCTCCTTGTTCTGGGTAGATGACAGCTTAGCTAGCCAGAATTGTTACTTCGCTGTGTGTGTGTGTGTTTTCACACATGCTCTTGGTCAGTACTGTGTTCTTTTTTTAAGGACTTCAGAAGGAAGTGAAACGGCTGTATGAGTGTAAGTGGAATGAAGGAGCTTAGCTTTGCTTAATTATGTTACATTGTATCTCTGAAAGCAACATTTGATGCTTCTAAACTGAGTAACCAGGTCAGAGCAGTAACTTTGTGGGAGGACCAAGGAAATGCCTATATTACTGTACTTACATACTTGGTACAGGCCCTTCGGATACGGTTCTGGCAGAGTCTTTGGAGGGTCAACAGTTTTAATATCCTTCTCCAAAGTAATTTTAACAATGCATTTGCTGTGCGAAGTTAAGGTGCTTCAAAGATGAACATCATCATGGGAGAGGTGACCAGGACAACCATTTTGTGTATTAAAGTACAAATGACATTTGAGTCTGTCATTACTCAGGGAATGGATGGCCTTGTGGATCTAATCATTAAGCTATAGTTTCAAGTACAGATTGATGTTTGACAGATTTCCTTCAACTCATTCATCCATTGATATACGCTATATGTAGAGTCCAAATTTCAACACGCCATGATTAATAATGATGTAGCCACAACAGATATTTGCACAGCAAATGGTTCTATGGTGTTGACCACTTGATTCAAGCAGTTTTAACATAATAAAATCACTGCAAAAGAAAAAACTTTGGGCAATTCTTTTGTCATGATAGAGTTCTGACAGTGGATCTTGGTCTAATTCTTGAATTTCCACAAAATGAATTGAATATCTTGCAGTAATGCATTTTTCCAGAAAAGAAATAACCATCTATGCTTAATGCCAATCACTTTAGATGCAAATAGTTTCAACTTTTAGCTAAAGTTGTGTGTTCAAATGTTCACATATCATGTAGAAGAACCAGCAACCTGAAGCTATTCTCATCAATTAAAATAGGTCCAAAATACTGCTTAGGTTGCCAAAATTGCTTTATTTCATTTTAATTTTTTTTCTCTTTAGTCAGTTGCTTTTAATGAAGATCCTCTTGGTATTTTATACCATTATGTTCAGACCTTCTGTCCTCTGCCTCTTCATTCTACAGAAGTTGTACTTTGGGTGATACCGTTTTTTCTAAGTGTTCTCAGCTAGGAATAGAAAGTGGTGAGCCAGGCAGCAGGCTGAGTTCTGGTTCAGAGCCACAGTCCCATTGAATTTGGTGGACAAAAGAAATTTGCATAGCCCAGATTTTTGCCTTCTGCCCCTGACCTTGAGCGCCTCTGGAGACTAGAAACTGTTTTAGTGTCAGTGGCACGCACTCTGCCAGCACTACACTGAACCAACCTTCAGGGTGTCGGTTTACCCACATGGCTGGATTAATTTCACTGAATCGATGCCCTGGATCCCCATAATCTTGTTTGTTCGTTCCAACTGAATGGGACCTGCTCTTGTGCTCGGAGGACTGTGGTTTCCAGCAGTCAGTGTTGGGAAGATCAGGTTGAGCTGTCTGAAGTCATGGGCTTGCCAGCCTTTGGAGTATCTCTCCTGGCCAGCTGGGATGTCTAGAGGATGTGTTCTTAGGTTCTTTGTGCAGGGATGTGTCAGAGCACCTAGTCTTAGTTGTATTCCATGAGTCTTCTTTCCTGTGGAGCATTCTGGCTGTGTTTGTAAAATTATTTATGTCCTGAAGAGAAATAACCAAGGATAGCAGAAATAATGTCCGACCAAGTCAGGATTGCTGGGTTCTGCTGACCGTGGATTTGACAAAAATAGTGCACAGTCTCTGGCCTTGGTGTCCTTTTCTGTAGAATGAGAGGTTGGCAGATTCTTTCTCTCTCTAGCATCCTTTCTGTTCTAATCCCATGCACCCTTCCCTTACCCGAGTGGTTATTCAGGGTGTGTCAGGAGCAGTGCTTCCTTTCCCTGGCCAGAACCTGACAAGGCTTCGGATGCCCCACTGTTGAACAGGGAGTGGGGTGTGGGGCTCTGGTGCGGTGTTTGCTGTGAGCGGAAGATATGTATAGCTCTCTGCCTCTGCCTGTCTCATCCCAAGTACAGTGTCCATCCTTCACTCAGGAAGCTGCGTGTGTGGCACATGAGATAATTTTGGTGATTTTGATAAGCAATACTTTGATTTCTTCATTAAGTTAATTTGAACATTTAAGAATCAAATCCAGCACCCAAGGTTCTCCTACCAGACCTCATTCACTGCACGTATTTGGCTAGGTCAGTCTCTTTGAAGTTTTCAACCAAACTACTGAGTTTAAATAAAAATGAACCTCCATCAAATCCCAGATCGTATTTGGTTATCCCCCTGTGATTGTCAACTTGAGCAAGAAAGGCCCCACCGATAGGATCATCATAGTTCTGGTTTGTGGCTGAAGGCACTCACTGATCACAGAAGATCCACCCTGGGTGCGAGTGACAGCAGCCAATAGGCTCACCACCTGAATGGGATAAAAAGGGAAAGAAGGAAGGCTCGCCTCGGTTTCTTCAGAGAACTTCCAGTCTTCTCCATTGGCTTGGAGCCTCTGTCTTCCAGTGCGGACTCCTCAGCCTCTCAGCTCACTCTTCAGCTGTCTCATGGAGCCTCTTCAGCTTCCAGTAGGACTCTGTGGTGAGCTCTAGGTCCTCCACCTTTGAGCGGATCCCTTGGATCTCCAGGGCACAGACAGCTCTTTCACACTCTTCCACACCTGACCCCGTGAGCGGCCATTGTAAGCCTGCCTAAAAAAAATGTATATATATATATATGTGTATGTTTCCCATAACTCTAGTGAGCCCTGACTAAAACACCTCCCTCGAAGGCAGATGAAAGAAATGATAGAAACTGAGCTTTTGGAACTTGTTATGGAAAAGAAACTTAAACCTCATGAGATATTTGTACCTAAATCAACAACTTAATATATGGCAGTTTAACATGGAAACTTAGATCTACAAAGCCGCCTTCACCTGCCAGAACCCTATATTCTTCAGAGCCTATTTCAAATATCACATCTCTGTGAAGTTTCTCCTCAGACCTCTGGGCAGTTGGCCTCAAACAGTCGTTAATAGAGGGCAGGTTGTGCAAGGCGTCATTCCACATGTTGGGCAATGGTCTCTTCCCTCACGGAGCTCACGTACTGGGTAGAGAGGTAGTGAACCTACACAAGATTGTTCCAGCGAAAGTGCTGTAAACAGAGCCGTAATGAGATGGGCCTGGAGGGCCAGGTTGGGCGAAGTGATGGAGAACGCGTCTCGGAGGAAGGGACGTTGTGCCAAGGGCTGAGATCTAATTTATAATCTTTCCCCCTGCTTACAGCATCTTTCTTTATTTTGGAGCCTAGTTGAGGATGTTTGAGGTCCAAATAAACCTATCCAAACTGAGAACAGTCTGAGGTTTGTACCCTTCTGTCTTCTGGTTGTCATGTGCAATATTGTACAAATTGAGCTTGAATGAGATTGTTCCTAGACATCTGTAAAAATACCTATTTTTAAAATTGGATATATTTTAACTAACTCAAAGATTTCCTAGTTGGGGAAAATCTGTGCTGACTTACTATTGTAGAGTTTCTGACTCTTCCGTAATATCATCTGTAAATCCAGTCATTGTCTTCGTTGTCTTAAAAAACAAAATCATGCCAGGGATTTAGCTCAGTGGTTCTGCCACCTGGCTTGCAAGCGCAAGGACTGGAGTTTGATCCCCAGTACCAAAACAAAGCAA